TATTAACTTAGTTGTAGTCACGATTTGGTTACCTATAACTACAAACATAGTTATGTTTATTTCTTTTATTTTTTTACATATTTATTAACTTATTTCAAGATATCTTCGGAACTACCCACAATACACTATTTCTCAACAACATATGGAGGATCTATTCTGAGATACCGAGTTCGTATGCTAGCTCGTTAGTTAGCTCAAGCTGGCTAACGTTAGCCACACCGCATGCTCTTCGCAGACTTTATGTTTGTGTTATCTAGTGGGAACCCGTTAGCACTGCAGGCTCTGGTGCCTTCTTGCCGTGGGCTCAAAACGAAAGAGAAAATCATACCTGCTTACTCTAATTGCATAGCGGTTGTACCTCATCTGCTCTCCTTTTTGTTTTGTCAACTTTTCAGCATGTTCTCTGTGAAGTAGGCTATGGGAGTTTTGTAACTTTTCCCACCTTGGCTTAGTGCTAGCACGCTTGCTGACTGACATCTGGAATCTATCTATTTTGGATTTTTCTCGCTATAGCATTACGATTTTCCCTAAATTTTACCATCGGATGGGCCCCAGCCTTCAATCTGTAAATCTCTGCTCTTTTGATCTGCGGTTATGTTTTAGTTGTGTTTTGTTAGTTGTGGTCTGACTGTATTTTTTTTTTTGTGATCCAATTGACATTTTAGTCATTTAGCAGACGCTCTTATCCAGAGCGATTTACAATTAGTGAGTGCATACATTTTTCATACTGGCCCCACGTGGTCTCCAGTAGTTTGATTCTAGCATGCCGACCATAGCCGTGCAGGTTGGTTAGGTTGGCTAGGCTAATAGCTACCGTTAGCTTGCTGGCTAAGATAACTACATATAGCTAACATTCCTTGATATTTGGTTAGATGGCGTTATGTATTTCCAAAACGTTGGTTTACTTTAATGTAGCTGTAAGCTAGGTGTTGATAACAAGTGGCTGATTCATTCAGTGCTAATGTAACGTTAGCAGGCTGGTAGGGCTAACGTTAGCAGGCTAGTTGGCTAGAAACCTTGCAAGTTGATTTGTAACAATAAATTCATAAAGTATTTGCTTGTAAGTTGGCTGACAATTTTATTGAAACCAGTAGTCATGAGTGCAAACAATTTGGTTTAATTTGAAGTTATACATTTGAAGTTATTTCTGTTGGCGTTTACATTATAGGGAATAGGCTGGCTTGCCAGGTCCTCCACATTACATCACACCCTGGAAAAACATTTTCCGACATTCTTTGGAATTCTGATCGGTTTTATGTAATAAGTGAGGTGTAACTTTGCATTGGGACTTTCGATGTGTATACTAATGCAAATCAATATGTTACATGTAGTTACGTTTATGCCACCTACCCTTTAAAATCAAAACAGAAAGAAAGCTATGTCAACACCATAGTGCCCTCAAAGCTCACCACTAAGCTAAGGCCCTGGGACAATTAGGACTAGAATAATGACCCTGGGACTAAACACCTCCTTCTGCAACTGAATCCTGGACTTCCTGACCGGCCGCCCCCAGGTGGTAAGGGTATGTAACAACACATCTGCCACGCTGATCCTCAACACGGGGGCCCCTCAGGGGTGCGTGCTCAGTCCCTTCCTGTACTCCCTGTTCACCCATGACTGCATGGCCAGGCACGACTCCCAGTGGTAGGCCTGATCACCTACAATGATGAGACAGCCTATAGGGAGGAGGTTAGAGACCTGGCCGTGTGGTGCCAGGATAACAACCTCTCCCTCAACGTGATCAAGACAAAGGAGATGATTGTGTACTACAGGAAAAAAAAAGAGCACTGAGCACGCACCCATTCTCATCGACCGCGCTGTAGTTGAATAGGTTGAGAGCTTCAAGTTCCTTGGTGTTGGTGTCTCTGAGATTTTGTGACCTTTTAAACACGACTCTTGGTGGTTCTTTAAAGATAGTGTAGCATTTAGGGTCTGAACTGACAATATGCCAATGTTTTTAATTGCATCTTGCATGGCATTTCCCAGAGGAGAATATTCCACAATACATTGTATCCTAGGGTCAGTCTTTTTGTGCACTGAGGGTTTCACGCTATCCAATTGGCTAGTGTCCATGACGCTCTCCGCAGCTGATTGTAGGCACTCTTCAGGATAACCTTTCTCACAGAATCTGTTAATCAAGACTGCTTTGTTGGGAGAAAGCAGCTTCAGTGCTACAGATTCTGCGGACACATTTAAACTGACTGATCTTTTCTTCGATCTAAGGGCTTCCTATATAGATTGGTGACGAGTGTGTCATTTCCTTTGGTGATCTCAATGTTAAAGAAGCTGACACTAGAGTAATCAAAGTCTTTGGTGAAACTATACTGGATAAAAATATAAACGCAACAATTTCAAAGGTTTTACTGAGTTACAGTTCATATAAGGAAATCAGTCAATTAAAATAAATGAATTAGGCCCTAATCTATGGATTACACATGACTGGGAATACAGATATGCATCTGTTGCTGCGTTGGGCTGACTGCACCACCCTCTGGAGAGTCCTGCGGTTGTGGTGGATGGTGCAATTGCCGTACCAAGCGGTGATACAGCACGACAGGATGCTTTCAATGGTGCATCTGTAGAAGTTTGTGAGGGTCTTAGGGGCCAAGCTGAATATTTTCAGCCTCCTGAGGTTGAGGAGGCGCTGTTGCGCCTTCTTCACCACACTGTCTGTGTGGATGGACCATTTCAGTATGTCAGGGATGCGGCCCCGTTGATGTGGATGGGGGCGTGCTCTCTCTGCTGTCTCCTGAAGTCCACGATCAGCTCATTCGTTTTGTTGATGTTGAGGGAGAGGTTATTTTCTTGGCACCACTCTGCAAGGGCACTCACCTTCATTCCTGTAGGCTTCTCGTCATTGTTGGTAATCAGGCCTACCACTGTTGTGCCGTCTGCAAACTTGATTATTGAGTTGGAGACGTGTCATGGCCACGCAGTCATGGGTGAACAGGGAGTACAGGAAGGGGCTGAGCACACACCTTTTTTAGGGCCGCCGTGTTGAGGATCAGCGTAACAGAGGTGTTGTTGCCTACCTTCACAACCTGGGGTCGTCAGGATGTCTAGGACACAGGGCAGGATTCAGACCCAGGGCCCTGAGCTTAGTGATGAGCTTGGAGGGCACTATGGTGTTGAAGGCTGAGCTGTAGTCGATGAACAGCATTCTTACATAGGTATTCCTTTTGTCCAGATGGGATAGGGCAGTGTGCAGTGCGATGGCGATTGCATCATCCATGGATCTGTTGGGGCGGTATGCAAATTGTAGTGGGTCTAGGGTGTCGGGTAAGGTGGAGGTGATTTGTTCCTTAACCAGCCTCTCAAAGCACTTCATGATGACAGACGTGAGTGCTACGGGGCGATAGTCATTTAGTTCAGTTACCTTTGCTTTCTTGGGTATAGGAAAAATGGTGGGCATCTTGAAGCAATTGGGAACAACAGACTGGGATAGGGAGAGATTGAATATGTCCGTAAACACTCCACATGCTCCCAGGACATGGCTTGCGAGGGTTAACAGACTTAAATGTCTTACTCGCGTCGGCCACAGAGAACGAGAGCTCACAGTCCTTGTGAGCGGTGTTAACCCACGTCGGCGCCACTGTGTTTTCCTCGAAGCGGGCGAAGAAGGTTTTTAACTTGTTCGGGAAAACAGGCCAGTAGTGTGTTTTCATTGATCTGGGGAATTGTCTTGAGTACGTTAATCATGTCACTAAAGGCCTGATTGGTGGAGTGCTGCAGAGATGGTTGTCCTTCTGGAAAGTTCTCCCATCTCCATCACGTTCTTGGTCACCTCCCTGACCAAGGCCCTTCTCCCCCGATCGCTCAGTTTGGCCGGGCGGCCAGCTCTAGAAAGAGTCTTGGTGGTTCCAAACTTCTTCCATTTAAGAATGATGGAGGCCACTGTGTGGACCTTCAATGCTGCAGAATTATTTTTGGTACCCTTCCCCAGATCTGCGCCTCGACACTACCTGTCTGTATAAGCTCCTGTCTCGGAGCTCTACAGACAATTCCTTCGACCTCATGGCTTGGTTTTTGCTCTGACATGCACTGTCAACTGTGGGACCTTATATAGACAGGTGTGTGCCTTTCCAAATCATATTCAATCAATTTAATTTACCACGGGTGGACTCCAATCTAGTTGTAGAAACATCTTAAGGATGATCAATGGAAACAGAATGCATCTGAGCAAAGGGTCTGAATACTTATGTAAATAAGATATTTCTGTTTTTTTTTATGTTATACGTTTGCAAACATTTCTAAAACCTATTTTCGCTCTGTCATTATCAGGTATTGTGTGTAGATTGATGAGGCAAAAATATAATTTAATCAATTTTAGAATAACTTATCAAAATGTGGAAAAGGTGAAGGGGTCTGAATACTTTCCGAATGCACTGTATGTATGCTGTGTAATATTTATATTTATTTATTCAATTGATCAGATGCAGCCTACCTGCTTCTGAGTAGGTGTGTTTACAGTGGTATGACCTGACGAAGATCCAACTCAAATCAATACATTGTCTGTTTTTTGCATCTGATTAAATCATCATGGGAGCATACGAAAAACTTAAATTAAACGCTGAGTCTCAAATAGCGACCTGTCCCTTTTAATACCTGGGCAACAGCACACATTTCAGCAAATAAACGGCTGTTTCAAATACACTTCATTTGTTTAATGTTTTATTTGTTACATTAAATAATTCTGTAATGACTCGAGAAAAGGATTCAAAATCATCCGTTTTTATCGCCAGCAAGAAACTGCTAGCCATTAACCGCTAACAGCAGAGAACTGCTAGCTAACAGGCAAGCACAAAAACAGTAAACAACTTCGGGAGTATAGACCCCTAGAAATCTGCCTGTTGTGTTCAGTTGGCTATTAATTGAAGTTTTGCGGTACCAGAGTTGCGGATATTACTTTTTAAGTTTTCTGAGAGTGCTCATGTCTCACTGGTGCTCGCTTCGCAGTCGCCCAAAAGCCTGAAGCAGTGGACTCTGGGAAAAGAGAGCGGATGGAGGAGAAAGAGAAGACAACAGAGGAGGGTAATAAAGGTTATAGCTTTCTAGCTGTGTAAAATAATGTGAGTTTTTTCCCAGTGACCTGTAGTTTGTAGTTCATAAGGGATGAGGCGAAGTGAACAAATTCTGACTTCAGTTTTTCGGACCCTTTCTGACTCTCATAGTTCCCCCCCAACCCGAGGCAGAGGGCCCTGGAGAGAGTGAGAGCCCCTCTGAGGGAGAGGAAGAGAAGGAGGAAGTGGTGAAGAAAGACAAGGAGATTGAGACAGAAGGTATCTGTCATGGTGTAGGATTTGATCAACTGCGTTAGTTAGTAGTTTTATAACTCATTGTGCTCCTTTGAAATAGACTGGATCCATTAGGTACACTAGTATTATGAATGAATGAATGAACAAACAAAATAACAAACCAATGAATGATGTGATCCTTTGGTGCTCACAGCCCCTCCAATGCCTGAAGTGGAGGGGACGGGTGGCACACAGGAGACCGGGAAACCTTCTGAGAAAGAGGGAGAGAAAGAGGAGGGGCGGGAGGAGGACACAGGAAAAAAGACTGAAGGTATCTTCTGTGGATGAGCTGTACATGTATAGAGCTAGTGTGTAGTACTAGTGAGTGTGTGAGTTTGTATAGACCAGTTCATAGATGAGTATTGTTCAAACGCAAACACGTTGGAGTACTGTAAATACTTTTCCAGAAATTACCAGTCAATGTGTAGAGCTGTTGATCAGTCAAAGCCTGTCGAAGTTGGAGCTTGAAACTGGGAGCATTCAGACAGCACTAATCAACCTGTAGAGAAATAGATCTCAGCTCTCTCACTCTTCCTCTGTGGTGATCCAGAGGAAGTTCTCGAAACACCTGAGTGGGGAAGCTTGGGTCAGGAGACCTTAGAGCCCCCTGGGAGAGAGGAGGAGAAGAAGAAGTGGGAGGAGGAAGAGAGTGAAGAGGAGAGAGAGTATGTGAAAAAGAAAGGTAGAACTTGGCTAGTGTTTAGTGTACACACCCTATAGGATAGGATCCTGTAGATTCCATCTCTCCCAAGTAGGGTGACCACATGTCCCGGATTGTGTGGTAAAGTCATTTACATTACATTTTTACATTTTAGTCATTTAGCAGACGCTCTTATCCCCACATTTTGGCCATTAGTTCCGCAACCAAACAATCATATCCCGCATTTTAGCAACAAATTCAAACACCACTAATTTAGAAAACAGCTAGATTTGTCTCGTATTTCAGTCAGACATTCCAACCTGTCTCTTGCAGTCACGTTGCACTAATGAAAAAATATATATCTGAAGGATGTGGTACTGGTGATGTTAAACACTTCTCCAATCGTTGCTGTGATCTGATATTCTGCGCAGCACAAGACGAGACATAGGCGAGACAAGACAAGACATCGGGCTAAATTACAGCTAAACTTGGAGAGGTCAGTTACCTAACTACTTTAAGTGTGCTTCTGACAAAGAGCTACAAAAGTAAGTAAATAGCCTTATTAGACTGAAAGATATAAGGTGATTTCGTCAAACTTATGAGGCTCTCCATGCTCATTGCTCATTCAACATATTTGCTGCTACTTCACTCAATCCCGTTTTAAAAGTCTCCCTTCCTAATTCTTTTACGTTCCCTTAGACCAACCAGAAATGTTTCCTTGGCCAAATATTCCCAGATTTTCATAAAACAGCCACACATGGTCTCTCGTTTCTGCAAAAGAGTAGGCTGCATGCGCTTCAATTAGCTAATTTGGTGCAGTAGGGATGTAGTGCTGCCGGATCCTGTGATCGTTTAGTAAAGTTAGATCAAAGCTGAATCAATGTCTTAGAAGATCACATAATGATTAATTAGTATTATACATAACGGAACCAAATATAATAGCATAGTATAATGATACTGTTGCACCAAAAACACCACAGTGGTAATTTCTGAATAGTCCCAAAAATATTCTCATGCTTTCAAAACTCAACAGCGGCCGCCACTAAATCTAATTTATTTATAAAGCCCTTTTTACATCAGCAGATGTCACAAAGTGCTTATACAGAAACCCAGCCTAAAACCCCAAACAGCAAGCAATGCAGATGTAGAAGCACGGTGGCTAGGAAAAACTCCATAGAAAGGCAGGAACCTAGGAAGAAACCTAGAGAGGAACCAGGCTCTGAGAGGTGGCCAGCCCTCTTCTGGCTGTGCCGGGTGGAGATTATAAGATGTTCAAACGTTCATAGATGACCAGCAGGGTCAAATAATAATCACAGTGGTTGTAGAGGGTGCAACAGGTCAGCACCTCAGGAGTAAATGTCAGTTGGCTTTTCATAGCCGAGCATTCAGTGGTAGAGAGAGAGAGAGAGAGAGAGAGAGAGAGAGAGAGAGAGAGAGAGAGAGAGAGAGAGAGAGAGAGAGAGAGAGAGAGGAAAACAGCAGGTCCGGGACAAGGTAGCACTAGGCAGAATTTGCTTGGATTTAAGCAAAATACAGGAAGGCTAAATAGTTTGTTAACACCGTCTGCTCTAATTTTCTCACAAAAAAGTAATTGAAGAAGATCTAAATGCATATTCCCATGAAACTGATTGAAATCCAATTATTGGCATGCAGATGCAGTTTGGACGTTTCACCAGTAAAAGATGAAGAATGCTGCCAACATTTTGTATTCATGTAGGCTACTCTGTCCCACAAAATCATCCTGTTGTCCCGCATTTGGGTATTTTAAATGTGGTCACCCTACTCCCAAGCCATATCCTTACTATAACTAGATGATGACCAACCCATAGAGATAAAACTAGCTGGTTTTGAACTGTACCGAAGCAAGATGGGCAACAAACTGTTCCTTTCCAGGACATTGGGGCTCTATAACAACAGCCTCTCTATAATTATAGCTCTATCGAACACCTTCTCAATAACATGCAGCTGCAATAGGTAGCCCATAGGCTACTTTGTTGTGATCTAGCAGGGGCTGTTTGCATGTTGCGCTGGGTTGCAGATTCAGGTTGGATCCAGGAAACCCTTCTAAAACAATGATTCCTTAATCTCGTGAAGGGATTCTCAAGCTCTTGATCTCAGGAGGAGAGCCCCAGGCCAGACAGTTATATGGGATCATAGACGATGATTTCAAAGGTAAGACACAGAACAATAGTAGCTAGACTGGGGATGCCTACAGGAGACTGAAGCATCGTCCGGCGTGGAATCTTGTTTAGTGCGTGGACATCAGTTGGTAGAGAGTTAGTAGAGTAGATAGTTAGTGGAGTAGATAGTAGAGTAGAGAGTTAGTAGAGTAGATAGTTAGTGGAGTAGATAGTAGATAGTTAGTAGAGTAGAGAGTTAGTAGAGAGTTAGTAGAGTAGATAGTTAGTGGAGTAGAGAGTTAGTTGAACATTTGTAGAGTAGAGGTAGTAGAGAGTTAGTTGAACATTTGTTGAGTAGAGTTAGTAGAGAGTTAGTTGAGCAGCATTGATGAAGAACGTTATATATGGAAATTGTCACTGTCTGCAAAAACCGTGGAAAGATTCCTTTTCTCTGCAAGTCTTTGTTGTCTTCCTTTTGGTTGTGTCTTCTGTCTGACTCCATCATCCCTCATCATCATGTTGGTGTTGTTTTTGCTCACAAGGTAAGCATCTACATGTCTTATTCTCTGTCACTGTCTTGTATTTACTGTCACTATCTAATCATTGCTAATCACTATTTATCACCATTCAAACAGGTCCATTTGCTCCCTGTCCAACACTTCTCCTAATGATATGTGACAGAAATATTGTTAATCCTTATTTTGAATGCCAACTAATATAGGCATATGGAACCTTCAAAATAACAGCCTCTCCCTTGTTGCAATCTTTTTTTTTTACAGTCTTCCATGAAGTCCCACCTTGACTTTGCGTTCATTTGTGGAACTATGCCCTGTTCTCCCTCTCCCCCATCTGTGGAGTAATTGGGCATTTATATTGAATTTCTGAGTAACTTTTCTCACCTAACTCATCTTTTATCACTGAGAGTAGCATTTTATGTGAGTGCGTTTTATGTGACTTCTCGCCGGTGGTTCTCCCCTCTCAAAACAGCCCATAAATATTTCAATGTCATCAACCAAACAATAGTAAAATAATTATGTGATGGCTGATTAAACAGCTAAACGCCAACCTTTTAGTGTGCATTTAAATTTGTATTTGCATAAACATGCCTGGTAAACGCCTCCTTAGAGGACAGCGATGCCTTGCAGTGCACACACACTGCAGCCGACTTCTGAAGCTTAATAAAACCTTAATTAGGTACAAACCTCAGCCAAGATAATCGCAGGAAGGATGTCTCTCGCTCTCTCTCTCTCTCTCTCTCTCTCTCTCTACAAAGATGAAAGCACTCATCATCGATTCATTGACTCACAGATCGCCCGACGTTAAGATATTTGAAGCGTTCCTAAATCGTTAATATCCTAAACCTACCGTAACTGTTTCTTAAAACTGTTGGGGGTTCTCGAGGAGCGGAGTTGGGAAACACTGTCCTATGTCCCATAACACCAACTCTTCTCTCTCCCCTCCAATGTCACTACTGTACTCTAACCATCCCATTACCATTCTCTAACCATTCTTTAACTCTTCTCTGTCCTCTCAGACTGTGAGTGCTACGGTCACTCTAACCGCTGCAGCTACATAGACTACTTGAACATCGTGACGTGTGTCAGCTGCAAGCACAATACCAGAGGACAGAACTGCCAGCACTGCAGACTGGGCTACTTCAGAAACAACTCTGCCGAACTGGATGATGAGGACGTCTGCATCGGTCAGTCACAGTGTGTGTGTGTGTGTGTGTGTAGGTGGGTGGTTTTTTTTTTTTTTTGGGGGGGGGGGGGGGGGGGGGGGGTAGTCGGGGGGATGTGTGTGTTCGTTTGCTTGTTTGTGTGTGTGTGTGTGCATTTACTGCAGAATAATCATTAGGCATTATGTGTGTTACACAAACAAAGTGTGTAATGTTGATTCACCAAGACGTCATTGATCAACAATACAGTTTAGAAAGATCAGCAGTTCCATCTCCAACCAATACTGCGAGGAAAAAAGAACAACAAAACAGATAAAAAACAGATATAAAAAACACTGACTCACTGAGATAAGACTATTATTCCTCTGGAGTTGACTGTGGTGTTGATGTAGTCCATCTGCAGGTGAGTGGTGGGAGGCTAGAGGTGTGTAGGAGGGGAAATGGGGGGGGGGCAGTCCTTGGAGTCAGCACAAATGAGGCCCCATTAGCTCGCCTGACAGGCTACTGGCACACTGAGACTAGCACCGAATCAATACAGAGCAGAGAGAGAGGGAAAGAGAGCACGCAGGGAGAGAGTGTGTGCGTCTTGTGCACTCATGCACGCACACACCAAATTAACTTACAAATAGATATATTTTCTAACATGTCTTCAAAATGATGTGTATTTTTTATGTACTATGAGATAAAACTGGGTTAATCACGAACATAGAGTTAGAATTCTTTGTTACTGGGCCAGGAATTTAATTGGGTAATTTCACTGTGTGTGTGGGGGTAAAGAGGCAATCTGACCTAGGGTCAAATTGCTTGCTCTTACTTAAATCCATGGCTGCCTTAACTCAACAGAGACTGAAACTAGCTTGTGGCCTTTTGTTTCTCTCTTCAAACACAGTGAAGGGAGCGGCTCCAGGGTTGAATGGAGTTTGGGCTAGACCTTTGTCTCTCCTTGGCTATCTTCTTGATTGATTACAGCATGATGGGGTGGGGTTGGTGTATGTTTCAAGGATTTAGGGACCTGTCATGTCCAACAATCGGTCTTCAGGTTAAGCCCGGAAGAGCCGGGGTTGAACAGAGTTTAAACTAAACATGAGTGTTTTTGCAAGACAGGGGAGTGATTGATTGTAGTACTATGTGATTCTGAACTGAATGAAAGTCAAACTTAGCCGCCACCATAGACAAAGGGAGTGGGCGGAGCAATAAAAGAGCGGGAAACTGAAGAGGGAGGGATTTTAAAGCTAGGGTGTGTGGAGGGCACTATATAAGATGGAGAGAGAGTGAGAAGAAAGGCTACTCTGCAGACCAGCTTCCTTTTATTGAAATTCAATAAAGTAAATCTTGACTCAACAAAAACTCTGTAACAACTTTGATTTTGAATAAAGTATAGTGATTAATTTCCACAACATAATCTCTCTCTTTTTCTATCTTTCTCCTCTCCCCCTCCCTCCCCTCCCCCCCCAGAGTGTAACTGTAACCAGATGGGTTCTGTCCATGACCGGTGTAATGGGACAGGCTTCTGCCAGTGTAAAGACGGCACTACGGGGCCCAAGTGTGACGACTGTTTCCCTGGGTACTACTGGAAACAAGGGTGTTACCTGTGAGTATACAGGGGAAAATGCAGTGGGTGAGCGTATGGGGGGGTTTGTGGGTGCGTGTGTGTAAATGCCCATGCACATGCGTGTATGAAATGAGAAATGTTGTAGGGAATATGTCAACTAGTATAGTGAAACCATGTGCAATCAAGTATTATGTGTTTAGCTGGCTAAGATCAAGGAATGGTCATGAGAAGCGAATATCAAAGCAAGTATTATTTAATAACTTGGTAAAATGAATGGATTCACATACAAGGCATAAAGCTTAAGATACAAGGCAATATTGACATTAACAAAGCATTCACAATCGAGGTTAACTTACAAGACAAAGCATGAACTAATCAGACCTACTCAGGCCATGGGCCTGGGTAGCTCACAAAATGAACATTTCTATACAACCTTATTCCATGGGCTGGAAACAGGAGAAGAAAAGAACAACAGACCTTCATTCCATTTAAACCAGATCTGACTTGTTTGTATAAAGAAAGTGTTGACCAATCCACAGACCAAACCAAATGTAGTACAACTAAGATATCCAATCAGATCAAACTAGCCTCTAGGAAGGGGGTCACAACTATGTGTGATGACCAGCATTCCTGAGAGGACAATTGCATACAGTGTCGTCAGAGTTCACGTCTGAAACACACACAAGTAACCATATATGATGGAACTACATTCATATACAGTGGGAAAAAAAGTATTTAGGCCACCAATGTGCAAGTTCTCCCACAGATGAGAGAGTGCCTGTAATTCATCAAGGTACACGTCAACTAGACAGCTGAGAAAAAAATCAGAAAACCCATGTAGTTTTAATGCATTATTGCAATTATGTGGAAATAAGTATGGCACTACAACAGCAGATTTGGCTCTCCATAATATCTTGAGTCCTCTTAACTTGTTATCAGTATAAAAGACACCTGTCCACAACCTCAAACAGTCACACTCCAAACTCCACTATGGCCAAGACCAAAGAGCTGTCAAAGGACACCAGAAACAAAATTGTAGACCTGCACCAGGCTGGGAAGACTGAATCTGCAATAGGTAAGCAGCTTGGTTTGAAGAAATCAACTGTGGGAGCAATTATTAGGAAATGGAAGACATACAAGACCACTGATAATCTCCCTCGATCTGGGGCTCCACGCAAGATCTCACCCCGTGGGGTCAAAATGATCACAAGAACGGTGAGCAAAAATCCCAGAACCACACGGGGGGACCTAGTGAATGACCTGCAGAGAGCTGGGACCAAAGTAACAAAGCCTACCATCAGTAACACACTACGCCGCCAGGGACTCAAATCCTGCAGTGCCAGACGTGTCCCCCTGCTTAAGCCAGTACATGTCCAGGCCCGTCTTAAGTTTGCTAGAGTGCATTTGGACGATCCAGAAGAGGATTGGGAGAATGTCATATGTTCAGATGAAACCAAAATATAACTTTTTGGTAAAAACTCAACTCGTCGTGTTTGGAGGACAAAGAATGCTGAGTTGCATCCAAAGAACACCATACCTACTGTGAAGCATGGGGGTGGAAACATCATGCTTTGGGGCTGTTTTTCTACAAAGGGACCAGGACGACTGATCCGTGTAAAGGAAAGAATTAATGGGGCCATGTATCGTGAGATTTTGAGTGAAAACCTCCTTCCATCAGCAAGGCCATTGAAGATGAAACGTGGCTGGGTCTTTCAGCATGACAATGATCCCAAACACACCGCCCGGGCAACGAAGGAGTGGCTTCGTAAGAAGCATTTCAAGGTCCTGGAGTGGCCTAGCCAGTCTCCAGATCTCAACCCCATAGAAAATCTTTGGAGGGAGTTGAAAGTCCATGTTGCCCAGCGACAGCCCCAAAACATCACTGCTCTAGAGGAGATCTGCATGGAGGAATGGGCCAAAATACCAGCAACAGTGTGTGAAAACCTTGTGAAGACTTAGAGAAAACGTTTGACCTGTATCATTGCCAACAAAGGGTATATAACAAAGTATTGAGAAACTTTTGTTATTGACCAAATACTTATTTTCCACCATCATTTGCAAATAAATTCATAAAAAATCCTACAATGTGATTTTCTGGATTTTTTTTTCTTCTCATTTTGTCTGTCATAGTTAACGTGTACCTATGATGAAAATTACAGGCCTCTCTCATCTTTTTAAGTGGGAGAACCTTCACAATTGGTGGCTGACTAAATACTTTTTTTCCCCACTGTAGATGGCATCTGAGTCCTCCTTAGGTGACAGGTTTCAGATAGATACCACACATGGATACCATAGTATTCTATCACACATTCAATAGTCAGTTATCTGGTTACTGTTGGAGAGAGAGATACAGTTTGGCCCCTCAGAAGGGCGTACTGGTCCTTAAAGTATTGGCCTTTGTGTTTTGTTGAGCCATTTGCCATGCGGCTGGAAGTGACAGAGAGAACATAGATTAGGGCCGAGCCTACAGCAGCAGTCTCTAAAGGCATCAGCATGCTTCAGTTTGGCTGCCGCCTAGCCGAACTCAGCTAGGAGAAACGAATGAGTGTGCTCGCATACTCCCATAAAAGACCTTCGCTTGAACAATGAGAAAAAAAGCAGCAATAGTACTGTGTCCATTTTGAGACGCCGTAGCCATTATACACTTCCTCAAAATAGTCTTATTAATCTAAGATAACTCAAGAAATCGGACATTAATTTGAATGTTTTTGCCGAGGAGATTACCCCGCCCTCCATTTGGCAAATCTGACCATAATTCTATCCTCCTGATTCCTGCTTACAAGCAAAAACTGAAGCAGGAAGTACAGAAGTGGTCAGATGACGCAGATGCTAAGCTACAGGACTTTTTTGCTAGCACAGACTGGAATATGTTCCGGGATTCTTACGATGGCATTGAAGAGTACACCACATCAGTCATTGGCTTCATCAATAAGTGCATCGATGATATCATCCCCACAGTGACCGTACATACATACCCCAATCAGAAGCCATGGATTACAGGCAACATCCGCACTGAGCTAAAGGGTAGAGCTGCCACTTTCAAGGAGCGGAACTCTAACCCGGACGCTTTATAAGAAATCCCGCTATGCTCCCCGACGAACCATCAAACAGGCAAAGCGTCAATACAGGACTAAGATTGAATCGTACTACACTGCCTCCAACGCTCGTCGGATGTGGCAGGGCTTGTAAACTATTACGGACTACAAAGGGAAGCACAGCCGCAAGCTGCCCAGTGACACGAGCATACCAGACGAGCTAAATTACTTCTATGCTTGCTTCGAGGCAAGCAACACTGAAGCATGCATGAGAGCATCAGCTGTTCCGGATGACTATGTGATCACGCTCTCCATAGCCGATGTGAGTAACACCTTTAAACAGGTCAACATTCACAAGGCTGCAGGGCCAGATGGATTACCAGGACGTGTACTCCGAGCATGCGCTGACCAACTGGCAAGTGTCTTCACTGACATTTTCAACCTGTCCCTGACTGAGTCTGTAATACCAACATGTTTCAGGCAGACCACGATAGTCCCTGTGACCAAGAACACTAAGGTAACCTGCCTAAATGACTACCGACCCGTAGCACTCACGTCTGTAGCGATGAAGTGTTTTGAAAGGCTGGTCATGGCTCACATCAACACCATTATCCCAGAAACCCTAGATCCACTCCAACTTGCATACCGCCCAAACAGATCCACAGACGATGCAATCTCTATTGCACTCCACACTGCCCTTTCCCACCTGGACAAAAGGAACATGTACGTGAGAATGCTATTCATTGACTACAGCTCAGCGTTCAACACCATAGTGCCCTCAAAGCTCATCACTAAGCTAAGGACCCTGGGACTAAACACCTCCCTCTGCAACTGGATCCTGGACTTCCTGTCGGGCCGCCCCCAGGTGGTAAGGGTAGGTAACAACACATCTGCCACTCTGATCCTCAACACGGGGGCCCCTCAGGGGTGCGTGCTCAGTCCCCTTCTGTACTCCCTGTTCACCCATGACTGCATGGCCAAGCACAACTCCAACACCATCCTTAAGTTTGCCGACGACACAACAGTGGTAGGCCTAATCACCGACAATGATGAGACAGCCTATAGGGAGGAGGTCAGAGACCTGGCCGTGTGGTGCCAGGATAACAACCTCTCCCTCAACGTGATCAAGACAAAGGAGATGATTGTGGACTACAGGAAAAGGAGGACCGAGCATGCCCACATTCTCATCGACGGGGCTGTAGAGGAGCAGGTTGAGAGCTTCAAGTTCATTGGTGTCCACATCACCAACAAACTATCATGGTCCAAACACACCAAGACAGTCATGAAGAGGGCACGACAATGCCTATTCCCCCTCAGGAGACTGAAAAGATTTGGCATGGGTCCTCAGATCCTCAAAAATATCTACAGCTGCACCATCGAGAGCATCCTGACTGGTTGCATCACCACCTGGTATGGCAACTGCTCGGCCTCCGACCGTAAGGCGCTACAGAGGGTAGTGCGTACGGCCCAGTACATCACTGGGGCCAAGCTTCCTGACATCCAGGACCATACAGTTGAAGTCAGAAAATTACAGACACTTAGTCATTAAAACTTGTTTTTCAACCACTCCACAAATGTCTTGTTAACAAACTATAGTTTTGGTAAGTCGGTTAGGACATCTACTTTGTGCATGACACAAGTAATTTTTCCAACAATTGTTTACAGACAGATTATTTCACTTATAATTCACTGTATCACAATTCCAGTGGGTCAGAAGTTTACATACACTAAGTTGACTGTGCCTTTAAACAGCTTGGAAAATTCCAGAAAATGATGTCATGGCTTTAGAAGCTTCCGATAGGCTAATTGACATCATTTGAATCAATAGGAGGTGTACCTGTGGATGTATTTCAAGGCCTACCTTCAAACTCAGTGTCTCTTTGCTTGACATCATGGGAAAATCAAAAGAAATCAGCCTAGACCGGGAAGTTAAAGCCTGGTCGCAAACGGGTCTTCCAAATGGACAATGACCCCAAGCATACTTCCAAAGTTGTGGCAAAATGGCTTA